TGAAACCCGAATTCTACTCAATCACAAAGTTGTGGGTTGATGCACAGCATCCACAGATTTAAACTTTTGATGCTGCTTAAAACCTCCTTCTTCTGCCACATATACCAGACAGAAAGGACGGATGAAAATGAATTTAGCCTGTGGAGAAGAAAGCAAATGGAAAGCTACCTTTGAAACAACAAGACCATTTAAGCCTGTTTGTGTTTGCAATGACCTGCATGACTGAAAATATACAAAGAGACAATATTGTGGGTAGATCATTCACTCAGCAGCAGGTAGAGACATGAGAAAATAATCAACCTGTAGTTAGAGTAAAGCAGATCTTCTGACAGGAAGCAGACATTGTGTGACCATGTTGGTCCCACTATCTCTTAATATTATTCAGACCTGGCTCAGGAGGAGGCGATCGACAGGCAGACCAGCCAGCTCTGCCACCTGTCTCGCCTGGCTGTAGCACCCTCTAGATTGTAATGTATCCACAATGATTGCAAATTCCTCCTCCTGGATGGATGGGGGGGTGCTGTGCAGCAGCCTCTGTGGCAGAGTGACCCCCGATCCTTGGAGCAACTGACTCAGCTTACTCAGCTTCCTGAAGTCTGGACCTGCACAAAAATAACAAGACAGAAGATCACACTGAGAACCCAATCAGATCTATTAAAGGTCCATCGCAGAGCAGACATAAACCTGGCTTTATACTTCCTCCTGTTCAAACTGTTCAAATAAATAATCAAATGTATTTATTATTCTAACTTTATTTACCAAGTAATTCACATTTAATTCAAATTAATAGATGTTTTCATGTCTTTATTTTGATAATTATCCATTTTGAATCCACATTAAATCACCAGTCTTTGCACCACAGCTGAATGCACGCTGCTGCTCTTAACAGGGAAGTCCTCATTAAGATGTTTAGGGGACACAACAGTAAACAAGAACCCTGATAAAAGATGGATCATATTCAGAGAGAATAAGTTTGATAAAAACTGAACATTTATATTCTTACTGTGAGACAATGAGGTAAAAACAGGAAGCATGAGGTACTTTGTTACTCAGGCTACGAAAGACTTCTGTTGCGACAGCCGTGAACATCTCACCATTTGATTTGAGAAGTTTGTCAACATCAGCGAGGAGCTGCAGCAGCCGGTGAAGATCGTACTGGGAAGAAGAACGCTGCAGCATGGTGAGGAGCAGCACTGAGGCCTGACTTTCCACCCATTGTAAGGGGAGGCTTCCAACGATGGTAGGACCACCATTTCTGAGCTGTACCAAAGGAAATAGCTCACTGTTAATGTTCTTTTTTTGTCTGCGTTTTATTGGTAAT